CGTGCGTTTTAAAACTTTGTACATTTCTTAGCCGTCCTTTACAAAACAACAACGTGAAATCACCAAAATTTGCGTCGTCTGCGAAGCGAGACCGCGGCGGCAAATTTTAATTTACATTTGGAACTCAACGCTACTTGTATGCGTTATGCTGAGTTTGAGTTCTGGCGTCCTATGAGACGGTAAACACATGCAGCCATTTTCGAAATTCTAACTAAAAGTAGAAACTCATTTTTTAATCGACGTCTTCCGTGGCGTTGCCGTTGTGACTGCTTAAGTTCCCTAAAAATTATCACAGTAACCGCGCAACACACAGATGAGTTGGTAAACACATCCAACACACGTCCACCTTGACGCAAAGTGGGTATGCACTTCCATTAATCTAGGGCACAGGAAGTTTTTCGACATAAGACATTGAGGGCATATTTATGATAACTTTTCTAATGTAATGTAATTGTTGTGCATGTTGCTGAAGTATTGTTTATTAAGAGTTATTTATATTATTCATACATGACAAATTGCTGAAATACCATCAGTGTTATTTATATCATTTGTTATATTGTGTGTGTGATTTTCTGACCCGCACTGCAATTCAGCTCTGCCTACAAAAGTGTTGATCAAACGTATCTATATCTACAGATAAAAACGCAGCCTTACACAAGACACTGACTACACTCTTTCTACGTCTCTCTCTCCTCCTGAACCTAGCAAACAGCCGAGTAGAGGTAAATCCACAAAAATTCTTTCGTTCGCACCAGTATTTGCGATGCAATTTATAGTTAGAATAAAGTTAATGCCTCAGAACAAGGACGGAACCGAAAACAAAGACCACATGTTACGCAAGGTCCGAGACTCACCAGACCCAACCTGTCAACAGGCAGGTTCAACAGGTGGGAAAGTAACTCAACTAGTACCCGGGCCCTCGATCGTGGTCTACGAAAATAACGTGCAAGTTTACCGAGGGATTCGCGTTGTGATCACCCACCTTAACAATGTCTGTGACTAAAGACGAAATGAAAGTTTTATCCAGCTTTACGTCTGAACAAGCGAGAAACTCCTACGGTTGGAAAAAGAAGAAAAAGGATATTCACAAAATACAATAATACATGAGAAGGAGGGGGGAATTTACCTCGAAGCGAATAACTTCCACTGATCATGATATCGATTCTATCAATGTCCTGCTTTAGCAACACCCTTACTCCGTTGAAAAAACTCCATCGAAAAAACAATTTTTTTCCTTTTTCGTAGAAAAATCTCTCCCTTACGCATGCCATAACAAATTTGGATTTTATATCCAGCTTCATGCAAAAAGTGATTTCAAAATGAACTTATTTTAATTATGATATGCAGCTAAGAAAGAAGGGTTTCTCGCCCTTGGTTTCAATTAAGTCCTAAAACCTTTGCCTCGAGAACTTCCTCATTGATTGTCAAGCCAACTTATCGAACAAGACTGTTACCTTGAGGGTTCTAGGAAAGAAGGCAGAAACGATGCAGATGTAAGGGGAATCCACTGTGGCTCCATAAAACTGGACGAAATTTTCATGACGAAAGTCGCGCATCTGAAAAAGGCAAAAATATTTATCAGCATTCATTTAATCCACTCTGATTAATCCACTTAATTCGCTTACTTTTTCCGTTCTTATTTATGACTCATTTATTCCTCGCTTCTTTTCTTCCTTGCGGCTTTTAAAACGATATCGTCACCAGTCTCCATCATGCAAATCTCGTTTTAACTTCAATGGTTCGATTACGACGGGCCTCGTTTCTTCGAATGGTACTTAGCCCTAGACCTTCGTATTCTCCACACTATTCTGTCCAGTTTTCCCCTAGTTATGCCGAGGAGAGTTAATTTGACAATCAGGCTTTTCTTAAATTAGTGATTCAGGGGTGATACCCCAGGGTGAAAGTAGAACCCAGTCACTCTTAGGGTTTAAACTAGACCCAGTAAAGAAATCACTCATATCGTGTTTTCTTTTAACATTCGTCCATTACATGGTGACTAGCGACTTTCACACAGATCGTGATGCGACTCTCATGTGTGTAATACAAACATGACAAGCAACAACACGACTAACGTTCTATTCACTTTCGCAAACTCACAAATGAGAAATACGTGTCGTACGTCAACTAAACTGCGCATGGCCGAATCAACTCGGGCTCAGGCCCCACGCTACATGCAGCACTCTAAATTTTGTTACCTGTTTCAGTTCTAACAGGATAGATTTTGTTAAATCAATTGTCTTGGTTCCAATCTGCTTCACCGTCACTCTATTTTCCTACAAACAAAGTGAGATTTTATTCTAAGTTATATGCTTTCATAATGAGGAATAAACATCCCTTAATTGTAATCATTCTTCTAACTATCCATTTTTCTACTGCCTGCTTAGTTACAAACTCTGCCTCTACATTACAACAGGTTTTCCTAACAAAAAGCGAAAAATATTTAGAGAATGGGAGTTTTGATAATCCTCCAAGTAGGGATGGATGTTAGTCCATGACAGGTCCTCTGCCTCTACATTTTAACAGGTTTTCCTTACAAAAAGCGAAAAGTATTAAGTAAGTAGATAGCGCTATTTAAGCAATAGCGAAAATCAGACCTGAAAAAAATCAGGCCTGTACGGGATTCGAACCACTGACCTCTGCGATACTAGTGCAGCGCTCTTACCAATTGAGCTAACAAGCCAACTGGGAGCAGGCCGTTAAGTTGATTCGTAATAAACCCGTGAAAGTGATAAATCAGTTACAATGAAATATATGAAGTTCATATATTTTGAACTGCGGTATTAGATACATATGATGCACGATCGTGCGGTATCTAATACCGCAGTTCAAAATATATGAACTTCATATATTTCATTGTATCAGTATTAAGTAAATGGGAGATTTGCTTATCCCCCAAGAGGGGGGGGGGAATATTATTTTAGTCATTAACATGTGACCTACGGGGTAATAAATAAATATAAAAGCGATCTTTGCAGTAATGAACCCTACTTGAGCAGTTGTAAAAAAAATAAGGCCTGAAAAAAATTAAAAGTCTGTACTAACTCCTGTAGTGCTAAGAACACTTTGATATTCAGGATCTATTTTTGTTAACAAGACACGTTCTCACCTTATAAAATCCAAAGTTTGTAAAAGTAAATTGGTTGCTTGTCCTACGTGACATGGAGAGGGACTCTTCTTCCTGTAAGAAAAAAACCCATACACTTTATCACTGTTTATGCAGATTCAAACTCGTACATTTGAGAAAGTGACGAGTTTGGAGCTAATCCAAATCTTAATTTTACAATACATGTCTTGTGTCTTTCTTCCCACACATTTATAGGTATCCAGGTTTATTAAACAACCACTTGGGCTGAAAATAAATCAATTGAAACCAATTAATTTTTCCAAAATTGTTACCCACTAGGGCACCTGCAGTTGTGCACAAATTTGAATCTGCTGTTAAGTTCACTCATGTGCAAACAATTAAAAAGATAACTTCAGCACATAAGCCAAGTTAACTACAAGACCGGAGCTCATTTCGACACCCCTTACATGGGGTATTGCTCCTTGCCGCTGAATGGGATGCTAGTCCATTACAGATTACCCTCAGCCTTTCGAACCCAGCCCCCTCTCAATTCAGAGCCTGGAGCGCCAACTGTTAGACCAGCTTGTTTGCAGTAGCCATAGATAAAATAATAATAATATTTATCTAGGGACCCCACTCGCCGATGTGGTTTCCAGTGGAGCTCTGCAAAAGATCTTGGTTATAGCCACGAGACGAGTTTCGAGGAGATTTAATTTCACACTTACTTCAGCCATGTCAGAACTAACGCTGGAAGACGTCTGCACCCAACGAATGTCTTTGTAATTCATTTTCCACAACAAACTGTCCCCCTCTTTTTTTAACATGTATTGTCTGTGGGATGATAAACAACCAGAGAGTGTCATTTAAAACAAATAGGAAAGTGACTGTCTTAGGACATCTAGGATCATAGGGAACACAAAACAGGCTCTACACTAACCATATATGATATCACTGACATTTAAAGGCGTGCTAGAATAAAATAAATAAAATAATATAAATAAAATAAATAAAATTAAATAAATAAAATTAACGAGGTGCAGAAGCACGGTTTTATGACATAACGCACGTGAGTGGCGTGACATGACGTTTTATTACTCTTATCGACCGAAGCTCTCAACCAGTAAGCAGCTATCTAACTCCACGATAAAACTGCTCATAATAACTTCAACTCTAACGGAAATTGGAAAAACAAACAAACAAAAAACAAAAAACAAAAGAACCAAGCAGAAAAAAAAGCCTTTACCTAATGACGTTGACGAGGAGTATGATACAAGTGATAGCTGCAAACGCTGAAACTCCTGCAATGACAGCAGCTGAAATAAAACATATGGCGAATTACTTATGAAAGCTCGAGTGTCAGCGAATTACAAATGATGACAGTTTCTTCGCGAACACCAAATGGCGTAAAAATAAAGACTTCATCAAACACTCGAAACCAAATCCTAAAGGTTCCTTGCTGTTGGGAGTATCAAGGTGTCATGAACTTTATGACTAAACTTGAAAGCAGGAAAATTCAGATGCCAGTCTGCAGATCACCCCAACACAGCGGTCAAGCGTCTACGCATGTGCGAACGTTTTAATGACTAGCTGGCAAGCTTTCAGTCTGTCAGAACTGAGTCGTCTCATGGGAGTTACAAACAACAACACAAGCTAGTAAGTCATGGTGTCTTAAAAGTGTATAAAGTTTTAGAACTTATTCTACCTCGCATATTTGAAGAAAAATTATGCTTCAAAAACCATTTTACTTTCTACCTTCAGAGGAAAACTTACCATTTCCTTTATCCTGACGATCATATTGTGCTGTGGAAAGTGTGGAGGTAACACATTCCAGACCATCAAACCCACACTTTGGTTTTGACAGAGGTATTCCTTTACCATTTGGCCACTGAAATTCTTCCGTCCTCACTACGATACCAGTGTCTTCTTCAGAAAAATTTATACGTCCTAATTCCTTTGCAATGGGGCCACTATTGTTATAGAGGCAGTCTGTGTGTCGTCAAACAAAAAAGGCGGGAATTTAAATCCACCAATAGAAATTGCACCTGTGCGCGCGAGTTCAGAATCTCCGGAAGGAATTCTGGCCAAAGGGGGGCACGCAATGTCTACTTACTTGACAAGAGATCCAACGGTCAGCAGCGGAAAACGCAATTCCGCAATTCCGACTACTGAGTTAGAAAGAGAGGTGGGTTCGGATGAGAAGCTCCTTGGAGTTTGTCGATATATAAAACCTACATAACGACCACCCAACACTAGTCCACGCCAAGTTTGAGATTTTCGACATTTGATTTTTAATTAATCAAAAGTAAGCAACGCTGACCATTACAGGTCTTTTTTTCTTGTCGAGAAACTCAACAGCAAACCGGCTGGTTCTTAGTCTCCTCTCCATCATATATGAAGATGTCGCAATATTTGGACCAGTATCAATCATCAACATCAAATACGTTGCGCCATCGTGATGAACTTTCCCGTACGTTAAAAATAATACTCACTCACCCTTTGTAGGTGCAACAGATTTGTTCCAGCGAATATCCACAATGCGGAGATTTACAACATCGGCTGACCCATTCTCGTTAATAAACACACTGGGGCCTAACTTGCCTGTTTCGTTAAAGGAAATACCCAGTCATTACTTGGGACCACTGTCTTTCCACGACTGAAGAAGAGGATGAAAAGCCCTGGCGTACTCCTGGACCTTTCATATTACTCAGATACTGTCATAGGAAGCAAATGGGAGTTTTGCTTATCACCCAAGAGCTGGATGCTAATCCATGACCGGTTACCCCCCCCCCCCCCTCTCGCTGCCTCTACACTGCAACAGGTTTTTCAACAAAAGCAAAACAGTATCAAGCAAATGGGAGTTTTGCATATCTCCCTAGGGAGGGAGAGATACTGGTCCATGACAACTAATCCCCCCTGCCTATACGTTAAACAGGTTTTCCTGACAAAAATAGAAAAGTATCAAGAAAAATGGGAGTTTTGCTTATCCCCCAAGGGAGGGATATCAGTTTATGACAGGTTACCCCCCCAACCCCTCTGCCTATGCACTGTAACAGGTTTTCCTCACAAAAAGCGAAAAGTATGAAGCGAACGGGAGTTTTGCTTATTCCCCCATGACAGGTTCCCCGCGCCCTTCCCTTCTACATTACAACAGTTTTCCCTGACAAAATAAGCAGATTCATGCAGGTCATAAAGGGGCGTTTTTAAGGCTTTGAAGTGTTTCAATAGTGACTCCTTGCAGCAGGTTGAAAAAAAAAAACCATAGTATACTCACTCTTGTAAGTAGAGTTCATTAGGTTGCGCATGATATTTTTTCCCGTTAAATCGTCACCTCTTGCCAAAGTTTTGTTTAACGCCTTGGCATATTGATAAACAGCGTCATACAAATAATAGGCGTGAAATGACAGCGGGTTTGTTTTCTGTAAAGGCAAAATGTTACAAGAAGCAATAAATGCAATCGAATCACTTTGAGTGGAGAGTTTACCAAATGACTACCCAACACAAGTCACCAAATTGCGACTCGCTCCACAATTCGTTTTTTCTTTCCCACTCGCCATGGTGACCAGTACAGTCTCAGTTTGGAGGATTGAGCTGCCATGCACCAGCTACATGCATCAATGATCAAATGCTCCCTCTACATCCTAACATACAGAGTTGTAAGATTAAGTGAGCAAAATCTGCACAAGAGGCAAGTGGCCTATCAAGCTGGGATGTCTATATTCCAGTTTCTGTACCAGACCCAGAGACCAGTGCACCTACAACCATACATATTCTTTAACCCATACAATTCTGGTGAATACAATTCCTGCTTCCCTATTCACTGACAATAAATCTTACATTTACCTCTTCTTCCGTGAGGCTCGCTGTTAAGTTAGTCTTGAAACTGTCATATTTTTCCTTGACTTGCTTTTCAAAGGCTTTATACGACTTCTGCTCATCTGGTAATTCACTCTCAACTTCTACCAACACCACCGACTCTAGGGCTTCATAATAGTCGCATGTTTTATTCTTGTCCAAATCCAAAATCAGATATATTTGTCCTGGACTGTCCATGTTGCGCTTGAATTGATTTAGGTCAAGTTGTAGCATGACGAATGCGTAGTCGCCTTGTGTCATATTCTGATTGTGTGCGTACTCAAGCGTCTGACGAGCCACTGGAAATTCACTCAAGTAAAGTAAAACTACAAAAGGGAGAAAATCAATCAATCAAAAAAAATGTGAGAACATGAGCCAAGTGGCTCATGCTTCGCAGACATTTCACCATATTTCCAGGGACAGTTCGCCGATATCATTTTATACCCACATAATGCATTAGGCCCAGTCTCCCCGTATGCAACCCAAAGGACGGTCAGTGGGGCCCAGTCTCCCCGACACACAGCCCCAAGGGCGTTCAGCGGTAAAGGTCCGGGCAATTCTTGGTTTGACGTGACGTCATCGAAATTATAAAATAAAAATGATCAATCCTTTTATGATATTAGTACAGTTAGTTTGCATAATAATCTCGAGTTTCTCTAGACCTCTCCCACACTCATATCGAAACATCCAAACTACCAGTGAAAGTGCACGTACCGGTTAGCTCAATTGGTTAGAGCGCCGAACTGTTGTGTGGGAGGTCGAGGGTTCGAACCCTGGCCGGACCAACAGTCAGGGTCTTAAAATAAGTGAGGAGAATGTGCTACCTTTCTATAATATCAAGAAATGGATAGACATTCTAGTCTTCTCGGATAAGGACGAATATACCGTAGGTCCCGTCTCCTGCATCTATTAATTAGTTAATTTGGTTAGGCAGGGGGCGTTAAAGAACCCACTCCCGAGATTACTGTGGTGTGGTCTGGCCTGTTTACTGGGAGGGGGCATCTTCAAAATAAGTCTTTGATTGATATTGTAAACTGCTTGATGCAGTCCGGCTTAAGTCTCCCGAAAGTGTTGTTAAGCGCCATGAGAGTTTCTTGATAAGTACGCTATATAAATACTGGTTAAATAAATAGTGGTTATATATACTATCTCAAATATTTAATTAAAAAGTAGGCCAGAACAACAACTTCACTATAAAACCAAAATAGGCCAGACCAGATAAAGTGACTCATGTATGAGTAGAGGCGGATCTAGCCCTTGAGTCAAGGGGGAGAGGGGGGGCCGTTTTTTTTGTGTGTGTTTTCACCTACCGGCTTTTCCGCCTCTCTCTGCTTTTAATTTTTTTTAACCAGAATAAGGCGGGGGGGCGGGCCCCCCGTGCCCCTCCCCTAGATCCGCCACTGCTGTATACCCAACTCATTGCTGCCCAGCTACCCCTGAGAGGTTCAGCCCAAGTTCCCCTTTTCGATCACTGCATCTGAATTTTAACCCAGTCCTCTTTTTTTCCCTTGTACGACTCTATTTATTAAGCAAAAGATATTGGACACGTACTTCTGCATTTGCTCTTTAGTTCTTTGAACACATTTCCCATGTAATCACCCACATTCGTAACCCTGGTGGGTGGATCGCAACAACTTGAAAGGTTGTTCTTCACAAAACTGTAGCATGCGTCACTGAGAAGTTCTTTCTCTGTAAGCACATTAATACCGTTACTCGTAAATTCACGCACCACGACCTTCTTCATGTTGACATAACTGGTAGCATTTTCATACAGTATGGCCACCTCTGACCAGTGAAACTTTTGGAACAATTTAATGAGTCCTCTAGCTAGTTTATGCCCCTCCACTTTGATGACCGTCTCCGCAAATGTTGCGTATTTCTCCTTTTCAAGAAGCGCTGTCAGCGGTTCGTTGCACATCTACACAGGAGCAAAGTTAAATAGTTAGCTTAGCCCTTCATCCTCAAAATGCGAAATCTAAGTTTTCAAACTTTCCCAACTATTCATTTCATGTGACAAAATCTCCCCACACTTTTCCCTTTATGATATAATTTCATCACTTGTTATTGCATTTCGGCTCGGTGGAATATTAAGATTGTAAGAAGTAAAAAAGTACTGCCACCTAAATTTTACACATTTGCTGCTTGCAACCTTTACTATTCTTACGATTTCAACAATTCACCAAAATTAAAAGAAATGCTGTAATCTACAATCCCCTTGACAAGACTCACGTATGATATCATTGGAACGTCCACTGCACTGGCATATCTTGCTTCATATTGACAAGAACATCCAGGACCTATAATTGCAGACACCTTCCTCTCGTTTATCAAGTGAGACAGAGCTTGCAGTGACTTAGTTTCTTTACACTCGGTATCATTCCAGATATAAGACAGATGGTGGCCGGCAAGGAGGTCGGATGAGTTATTGACGTCATCCACGGCGCTTGCAATGGCGGGAGCGAAGAGTTTTCCCTTGAAAGAACCCTTTGGATTCGTTAAAGGTACGAGCAAACCCAGGGTAAAATTATCTCCAAATACCGGAGATGTGACGGCAAGAATAAGAAGAAACTGTTGAAGACATCCAAATAACGTCTGCATGGTAATCAGCTCCCTGCTTCTTCGTTGAACTATTGGAAATTGCTCCAGGCGATAGTATCAGATCATTTTCTGACGTTTCCTCGATGTTTCTTTTAAATGGTGAAGATATCTAGGTAGGAAAGTACAAAGTAGCAAACCAGTTACACAGGTACACGTTCCTAGACATAAGATGCAATTTTACATACAAAAAACCAAAAACTCCTCCTTCGACGGAATCACTGGAAGCATATTTGACTTCGTAAACTTCATGTGTTAAACGTAAACAAATAGCTGGGTACACAAAGAATGCATGATTTCATTTGTTAAACACACAAAACCGCAAAATAACAACAAACTAAACATGCGTAGGCCTTCTGAGTGTTCTGAAAATAATTTCTAAAGAAAAGCAAAAGACTCTAACTAATTCTTTTATCACCGGCCGGGCAAGAACTGTCAAAGATGAGTGTCATACGATCATTATTCAAGGGCGCATTCTAATTGCGAAACGAAACGAATGGAGATACAATAAAAAGTTGAAAATGTCACGATATTCTTTCCACTTAAAAAGATAAGTGGCATTGGAATTTTAACAAGGCTGTTTCTTTTTACCGAAAACTTTTTTAAATAACCTAGGAATGACTAATTTTCGTGTTTTTTACAATTTGCAAACACAATATTTCACCCCATCTTTATCAACGTAGTAGTTCTCGCGTCGCAAAAAAAATTAAATATAAAGGAGCATTAATATTTTCCCAAAGATCTTAGCGACGTCGTATCTCATTAACCGTGCCAAACGTCATTTCATAAAAAAAGCAGGAGGTCTGTGTAGCACGCAATACTTGAAGTGTCAGTCACTGAGAACCTGTCATCAGATTACTGGTGGTCAATTTAGTTTGACTTGCTAATAAAGTACGACACTTGAGAAACAGAAACGGCTGGGAAACAAACGTGCTCAACAAAAAGGAGACAAAAACAACAATTTTCCAGCGTTTTCTACTCGATGCTAGGTGCTTTTACGGGCCATTTCTTCTAAGGACAATTGTTAAAAATTATTCGGATTGGCTTCTTCAGGAAAAGCGAATGTGACAAATGGCTTTGGTTCGTACACTGAACTTGACATGAGCCGTAGCGCGTGACTCGAATGTAGTTTTTGCAAAATTATACATTCAATACGACGTCTGAATCTGTCCGCAAAGTATGGCAGATGCACCTGCCATTTTTTACCTTTCGAATCACACATTCTCTGAGCGGAATCGCCTCTCCACGCATCAGATCTCATAGAGTTCTACCATGTTCTACGGACGGGCGTCCGAATCAAGCTTAAGTCAATCCGTAGGTTGGGCTGGCCTTTCCCTCGCATTCAATTTCCCCATGTAGAATAAACTGGGTGTACTATAACTTCCACTCACGAGACATTGAAAAAAAAAAACTAAATTTTCAAGAAGAGGAACTTTCCGTCCACGTTCCCCGCATTTGTCACCTCTTGCCATTCCTCTCCACATTATCAAAAAAATGCCCGCATTGGTGTCTTTTTCTATCCCGGAAATTTGCATAAGTTTTTCCACTTTCAAAAAAAAATAAAAATTCGAGTCTGTCTCATTTCCCCACACAGGATTAATCATTAGAAAAGAATTGAAGACAAAACAGGATCAAATGCAGAATTCTTATCATGATTATGATACCTCAGAGTTGTGTTGGAATTTTTCTCACAGCGAGCGTTGGCGATTTTCGCCCACTATTCCGGTAAAATATTCGCTTTCGCGTCATCACGTTTATTTCTCTAAAAAATTTCGCGAGAACTGCAGCAATAAACAGAAACTTTGCTCTTGAAATTATCATTACTATCGCATATCTGTGAAATACATGGGTCAGAATAAGTACAAAGTAAGAGGGTTGCTCAGCGGTACCTGCACTATTTAAACGAAAATGAAATCCGGCAATAACAAATATTAAATTTAACGCTCCAGCAGATTTCTCTTTAATGCGCCTTTTTTCAAGTTTTCAAGTAAGCGGCTACTGCTAAGGAGAGATGTGTGGAAAATCATGTTTTGCAGTCGATGAAAATGTACATCATCCTGCTGTAATATCTTGAGTCGAAATGTAATGAAATACGTAGTAGGCAAACCCTTCCTGAATAA